TTCTGTTAATTAATTTTGGTAGTGGGATTCTGAAGAAGAGTTTTGTTGGTAGTATGTATAGAATTCAGAATTAGATAGAATAGAAGAGAGAAGTTGTTCAAAAAAGTAATTTTGAAAGTCTTGTTGAATTGATTTTTTGATATCATCAGGATTAGTAAGTAGTGTTTCATTTGATAGTAGCCTATTAATGTTAGCACTATTACTAAATTATTCAAGTACTTTTTTGAAAAAGAGCTTAGAATTTTCTGAGAAGTTTTAATTCCTTTCCAGAAGTTTTTGTTGAATTTCTAATTGGGTGTGAGTTTTATTTTTCTGTTCAATTATATTTTTAAGGTTTTGTACTTCTTTTTTAATTGTTTGAATAAGTATAGATTTTGTAATTTTATCATGAGGAAGAAGTTCAGGTATAATATCTGTATTATGTGAAAATTTGTTATAATAATTTAAGAGAAGAGTATGTAAATTAGATGAATTAATAGATTTCCTTATTTTAATTAAAGCTTGATATTGAAGTTGAGGAGGAGAAGATTTTAGTTTTAGTGAAGTTATGAAGTTATGATGTTTAATTTTTTTATATGGAATATATTTTTTTAATACTTTGAGGAGAGATTTTTTGATGATATTCCAAGTTGTATTTAAGTCATTTTGGTTTTAGATTTTTTGAGTGAGTTGGTTGATTCTTTTGAAATTTTTATTTGTATAGTTTTGGTATTATGATATTTATTGATTAGTACAATTTTTTAAAGATATTTTGTTCAAGCTGGTTGTTTATAGTTGTGTATTGTAGTAGATAGGAAGGAGATTTCTAGAAGAGTTATATTGTAATCAGAGTCAATTGGAGTAGTATCTAAGATGTCAGCATAGTCCAAAAAAGTAATGTGTAAGTTGGTTCAAATTTGGTCTATTCTGCTATAGCAATTTTTATGAAAGCAGATATATTTGTTTGTATCAGGATGAAAAAGTCTAAAAGTATTATAAAAGTCAGGTTTAAGATATTTGATAAGTTGGGATTCTGGAAGGTAAGATTTTTTAGAAGGGGAGCAGTCTATTTTAGGATTTGGTATTGAATTCAAATCACTCATAAGGATAATATTAAATTTCTAATATTTAATTTTAGATATATTTATTAATCAAAGTTGAAACAACTAAAAAAAATGCAAATAATCTTGTATTAAATTGATAGTATAATTTTAAGAAAACAAATAATCTATATTATAATAGATGTCTTAGACTTAAAGAAACTGAATTATTTAATATTATAGATATTGAATCAATTAAAAATTATGTATATATAATTCTTTTTTTAACTTAGGTGACCTTACCCTTGGTTTATTAGTGGAAGATTTATAAACAAATCATAATACAAAAATAAGAAAAAGAACTAATGTTTTAAACTACTAATGTATCCCATCCTTGCAACCTCAGATTCACTCAGCTTGCCTTACGCTGCCTAGGTGCGATCTACTGCAAAAAGTATTTATCTCCCTAAAAGGTGTTCTACCTAAGTAGGGTGGTTCCTTCAGATCAACAATAGGTTCTTTTATGTCTGTATCAAGGTCCTAGGTTGCTTCTAATCTAATCAAAACTAAATTACAAACTATTAATACCTAGTTTAAGTTAAAAATAAAAATTGTTACATATAATAAAATATAGCTAATTATATAAACTAAACTTGTAAGAGAAAAATCTGCTACCAGATTAAAAAACCCTTGCAAGTAAAAAAGTAAAGAAAAAAGAAAAAGAAATTAATACTTTCATTAACATAAAGAAAAAAAGATTGTGACAAAATATAAAAATATTATGCTATGCAAAAACAAGAATGCATATCTTTAGCAATAAACTTCTTTGAAAGTTAAATCCTAATTAGATCATCTATATGATAGTGATATACATGTTTATTATCTTGTCTAAGTTGTATATCAATAGATGACTTGCCAAATTAGAAAGTAGTATGAACTTGCAGATTCTTTGTTAGGAGTTCACCAAATCTCCCATTTTTTTATTTTTCAGTATAGAGAAATTCAAAGATCCAGAGGAAAATGGTAGTAGTGCCAAAAAAATTAAAGAAAGTATATATTTTCCAAAATCTACTATTTACTTGTATTCATCTAAAGTGTAACTAGTACTTATCTTCTGTGAGTGAGTGATAAACTCTAAGCTTGTTGGCAAGTAGCATATGAGAACTACTTTTAAATAACAAGTACTACTATGATATTGCAGTAAGTAATAAACTCTAAATCTGTTAGCAGATAGTGTATGAGAACTATTTCTAAATAACAGATGCTGTCTTATGCTTCCTTGCATTATTACTCTTATGTTTCTACAGAGTTTATTGTATATTTTTAAAAAAATAAGTTAGAAATTTTTGATACGAGGGATCATTAGAAAGAGTTTTAAGCATATTACAGATTTATTTACCTAACTTAGCTTAGATTATTTTAAATTTTATTATACTTAACATATTGTAGTATTTACAGAGCTAATTAACCTTGAAGCATATCTACTAGAACAGTCTATATCTATTTTACAGATTTATCTAGTTTAGATCCTTGTGATATTTATATGACTTTAGTTTCTACTATAGCTTTTTACTAATATTGTTTGCTGATTTCTCTAGATATTTCACAAAGTAGATTTTTCTAAATTCAGTTAGCCACTAAGCCAAATTAATATTGTTAATTCTTTCTGTAGAATAAATTTACTCATACCTAATTTGATCTGCATTTTTTTGAGTAACAGTTTCTATTTAGATCAAGTATTAGCTAATATGACTATTAAAAACTATATTACTTCACTAACTTAGAGTTTCTATTATACAAATCCTCAGCTCATAGATTCTATCAAAATTTATTTATATAATATTATATTGTATTTCTAATATTTGGATAATATTGATACAATGAGATTTACAGAGTTACAACTTCAGAAATAAATAAAATTTACTATAAGTTGAGTATAAAGGTCTGAATAATTATAATAGAATTTGAACTCTAAACTTCTTGTATAGTGATCTAGCAATCTAACTATTATACTAAAATTAGCAAACCTTTAAAAAAATTTTTTTTTTTTTTTGTTGTTAAGGTAGCTTATATTGCTGAAAAAAATTTTTTTTTTTTGTTGTTAAGATAGCTTACATTGCTGAAGAAATTTTATTAGTTTGCAAACAGGATTATATATTAATAATCATTACTATTTATAATTATATAAAAAGTATACAATAAGCTATATATATAGTAGCCAACAAAAGTAACATCTGATTTGCTAATCATTATACATGATCAAATAAAAAAGCTGTATTTACTTTAAATTTTAATATTTTGGATAATTTTTTTTTTATTTTTCGCTTCTTTGATATTGAAATAACTGAACTAAAAAAAAAGATTTTTTTTTATGAAAATAGTATGAACTCAAATAACTGATTAAGAGAAAGAAATGGTCTTTGCTCTTGTCAGTATGATGAGTGCTGAGCAAGTTGCTTACAAAATTAGCTATGATATAAAAACTGTAAAAAAGTTCTTAGTGAAATATAAAAGAACCAAAAAAATTACAAATTTATCTCAGTTCAGACATCCTCTCACTTTAAAGAAATAAAAAAAAACTGCTATACTAAAAAAAGTATTAAAAAAAAAACACAAGCTCCTGTGTAGTATTGTGAAGGATTTAAACCTTCAATACAATATGCAAACTGTAACTAGAATCCTACATAGCTTCAGACTTTGTTCTCATATTGCTGCTATTAAACCTTTTTTGTCAGAAAACAATATAAGTAGACGTATAAATTAGTATATACAAAATCAAGACAAAGACGTTTATTATTTATCAGCAAAATTTATATACAAAATATTATGAAGGAATTTGCATACTAAAAATCTTTTGAAATAACTACAATTTATGTGAAATTATTTTGAAAATAAAATAATTTAGCAATATTGTGAAAAAATCGAAATAATTTAGAAATAATTTCAGTTATATTTCAAATAAAAATAATTCGAAACAATTCAAAAATTTTTAAAATAAATTAAAAAAAAGTAAAATATCAAACTAATAAAAAGTGAAAAATATTGAAATATTTTGAAATAAATTGAAAAATAAGAAATAATTTAAATTAATATATTTATTTTTTATTATTAAAATATTTTTAAATTATTACTATTTAAATATTTTAATATATATTTAATATGCTTTATTATTTTATCACAATTTTGATTATTTTTAATTTGATTTAACTTTATTTAAATAATTTAATATATCAATAAAAATAATAAAAAAAAATAAAAATAAATATTTGATAAAATTCATAAAAAATCAAAATTATCAAATATTTTTAATGTAATTCAAATAATCTGAAATTTTTTAATAAAAAATTTATTAGTAAATAAAGTAAAAAACAAAAAAGTTTCAATTTAAAGTTAAATTTCTGTTTTCTGATTTACTCAAAATTTGTTAAAAAAGAAAAAAAAAGAAATATTATTTGTAAATTAAAAAAAGCAAAAAACAAAAAAGTTTTATAATTCATCTTTAGTATCTTGATATTCATAGAATAAATCTAAATTGAATAGTAATGAAAATATGTAAAAATTTATATAAATATGTGATATTGTAAAAATATTTGAATATTAGCAAAAATACTGAATATTGTTAAAGTATTCAAGAATTATAACAATATATTGCAAATTATAATTTATTATTGTATATAGTAATTTAATGATTATACCTTCTCTTAGCTTTTTTCTTGTCTAATAAATTTGTTATTTGTAATTATTATTAAAAATAAATTATGTATTGTAAAATAATACAAACTATTTCAAGTTCTTATAATATATGTTTATATTTACTGTAGCCTGCTTGAGAACTCTAGATAATTTAGAAATAATAATATAAAAATTTTTAATAAATTAATATTTTTTCAATATATTTGAAACATATATATATAAAATACTATTAAAAATTATTTGTGATTATTTGTAATATATTGATAATTATAAACTATATATAGTATTCTAAAATATTTTTAAGATTTTTACAACTTTGCGCAAATAAGTAACTATTAATATATTTTGCTATTTATATAAATTTAAAAAATTTTTTTTTATAGCAAAATTTGCGAATATTCTTAATAATATTAAAATACTATATATATTTTTTGAATTATTTTGAAATATATTAAATTAATTATTAATATTACAAAAAAATATAATACTTTTTCAGAATCTTCTGAAATTTCACTTTCTTCTAAGCTTAATATTTCTTTATCAAAATCAAACAGAGAAAATTCTTCACTATTTTCTAACTTCCTCTAATTTATGAGAAATATTTTAGTAATATTTAAAAATTGATAAAAATTTTATAACATTAAAATAATAATAAATTCATACCAAATTTCTTGAAAGTTTATATTTTATAATACTCTCTAATATCATCAAACTATCTTGCTTTGAATCAAGTATAATTTGGCAGACTGCTATTGTATATGCAACTTTTTCATGAGTTGTATTACCTGAAAGCCAAATCTTTTTTTTTTTTTTTTTTTTTATAATGCCAAAATAGAAACTTTATTCATTAAAAAAATAGAGTTAAGTCTATATACAATAGTTAAGATTTCTAAAACATTTATGCTACAATTAAGACACCCAATGTGACATTACACCCCCTATTTCCAAAAAAGGTTAAAATAATTATTTCAAATTAAATTTAAACTAAGGATAGGTTAGGAGAAAACCTTAAAGTGTTAGTCTTGGCATTATTCAATACAAGTAGTAAAGGGAAAACCATATAAAAACCAATTTTTTGTTATATTAAAAGAATTAGATGATTTTTGTAGTTTAGTTGTTTGAGATAAGTTTGGTAAATTAGAAGTTAGAAAAAAGATTTTTTTATTTTTTGATTTTTGGATTATATTTCAAGCTATTTCCCATTGATATTGATAAAAGTTCTTTTGAGACCATATATCTTGATGGAACCAATCTAGTATAGAATTTGATAATTTTATAAGAAATATTTCTGTTTGATTATGAAGAGAAAGTTTTAAATCATCAAAAGTAGTTAGTGGGTAATAACTAATAGTGATATGAGAGAAAAGTAAAAAAATATTATTTGAAAGGTATATTAAAGGTTTTAGAAGAATATTTATGATTTGTTGTACTAAAGATTAGGAAATTTTAAAATTAGGAAGTATATCTAAGATAATATTTTTCAAAATATTTTTATAGTCAAGAGGATTTGATAGACATGAGAAGAGATGAAAAGTATTTTCAAGATTAGAATATCTTGCACAATTTGGTGTTGAGTAAAGATATGAGTAGCGAATTAAGAGATTTTATATTGTTAGAAGATTGTTAGTAATTATTTTAATTTTGAGTGAATATTTGTAAGAATTATATTCTAAAGAGTTAATAATAGAGAGAGTAGTAGACCATTTAGGTTTAGAGAGATTTTGAAGATATTTAAGTTGTAAGAAGTTATATAATTCTTCAGAAGTTATAGTATTTTTAACAAAAGTACAGAGTTTAAAAAGAATAGAATATTGGTGCTATTGGAAGAATATTGGAGAATTTAGTTTAGTAATATCAATTGATATTATTGATTTGTAAGCTCCTTGTTTGGCTAGTAAGTCAGCTTGATTATAGTAGAAATTTTTTGAATGAGATTTAATTTTTTGAGTAGTTATTTAAAGATGTTTTTTTGAGATGATTTGGTTTATAATAAATATTATATCCCAATTTTTCTTTTGAATAGTAGTAATATTCATTAGAGTTTTTAAGTAGTTAATAGTGGTTTTGTTATCAAGATAAATATTGATAGTTAAATTACTAGATATAGCTAGTAGTAAATATAATACTACTTCCATTTCTGTTCTAGAAGTGTCAGGATATAGTGAAGTAGCTACATTAAAACAGATATTTGTATTGTTTTTTAGGATCTAACCAATTCCTGCTTGAATATTTGAAGTTCTAATATTTTTAATTGAAGCATCAGTATAAAATTATAAGTTATTAGAATTTAGATTTAGTATTTGGTAATAGAGATTGATTAGTTGATTTTGATATAAATTAGATTGTATATAATCTTAGATAATTTGTATATCAAAAGGAAGAATAGTGAGTTGGGAGGAAGTTAAAGTTTGATGAGGTTGTATTAATTGATATTGTTGAGAAATTTTAATTAAAGCAAGAATTTCTTGAATATTAATTTGAACATTGAATATGTTATCTTTTTTCTGAATTTTAGAGTTTGGTATATTAATAAAGTTTGAGTTAGAAGATAGAGGTAGTTGAGAAGTTTGTAGTTGTATTTGGCCTTGTTCAGATATATTGTATATTGTTAAAAAATAAGATTTGTTAAGAGATTCATTATATTGAAAATATAATTGACTATTTTGTTAGTATAAGTAGCATAGTAATTTATTTTTATAGTTATTTGGAGAGAAGTATTTAAGTGTATTCAGGAAGTAGTTGGTTTGTAGAAGGTTGAGAAATGTCTATTTTTCTGAAATAGTTTGGTTATCTAATTTGGTTGTTAGTTGTAAGAACCATATTGGTAATTTTCCTTTTGTAGGTTTATTTGTGTGTAGATAAATATTATTTTAAAAAAAGAAGTATAAATTATCTGCTATTGTTATTTGCTCTACAAAAAGAAGTTTATTATTCTGAAGACTATTAGTAGTTGCAAGATTAACTTTTAGTAGGATATGATAAATATTAGATTGTAGTGAAGGTAGGGATAATGTTGGTGAGAGTAGAGAGTTTATATTTGCTAGAGTAATATTGT